CCCCTCTCCGCAGGTGCCTTGTCAGTCCCAGTTTAGTGTCCATTGCTGAAAGCGCGGGGGAAGGGGGGAGGGGAGGGGGGAGGATGGAGGGAGGTAGCAGAGCGTCGAGGGTGGTGGCGAGTGGGGGAGGGGTTGTAGTGGCGAAGGGAGAAGAAAATGTAGAAAATCCCTCCTTCCCTTCCAGGAAACCACCCTGAATCCGCCTATGATAGCAACACTGCCTCCTGACCTTTCTTCACCGTGTGCACCTAATGACCTCAGCCAGATTCTCCATCGTTTTTACTCACATACAAAGCCAACAAGCTGCAGTCGCTGTATTAAGCACATAATGAGAAATCGCAACCAGTTTTTCGAAAGAATAGCAATATAGCCTTGCCCACCACGAATTATCCAGCAATCATTGGGATTCGATCGCTCGGAGGTCGAATGTTTATCACCAACAAAGCGGCACATCGTTTTACTAAAAATAGAGGAAAAGCAGGGGAAAAATTACGACAAATCACAATGGAATGTCCTTACATAAGTTCTAGCTAGATCGAGGGGCGCGAAATTGAAACTCCGAAAGAAGTTACGAAAAAAAGATGCCATTTCAACAACACACAGCTTTCTTTCTTCGAAAAAATAGATGGTATTCAATTTCTTGCAATAAAAGCAAATCCTGCAATAAAAGTTTTGTCTGAATGGATCGAGTTAAACGAAATGCATTGATGCAGCGAAAGTGTTGATTCAGAGCATTTTCAATTCAGAGAATTTTCAGTTTGTCGCTGCAAAGCGGACAGTAGGGTTTTCATTTGCGCACTAGTACACACACGAATCTAAGTCACTTTTAAATGAACCAGCTGAAGATTTCGTATTTCGGTGGAAACTACAGCAGCATGTTTACTGCGAAATGGAGCTGATATTACGACGTTATTGCTAGTTGTAAAAGTACTTATTGTGGAGTTTACAATAAAAACGATTGGGATTAGGATCAGACAGGATTTGGAAGGATCCGAAGAGCACCAGCAACATCCGACTGGTCACTGATGACCTGAGCGGGCATATTGCACACCACTGGTTTTACCCAATGTTCTTCCAACTGCCTGCTTTCACTTTTATGTTTTCACTTTTCACATTTTTTGCATTCACGCAAATAAAAGCTTATTGAGATGAGGTCATATCCGTATATTCTGTGTGCCTATGGTTTTGTTTAGATAATACAATGCCAGGAGGCGAGAGCTAGGAAGCTGAAATTTTCAGAACGTAACCTCGATTCTGTAAGGAGCGCAAGTTCGAGGTTGAGTTCCGAAAATTTTCTGTTTTCCGAGAAAGAAGAATGCTAATAGCTTTGCAAATTAAGTGTGCCATCGCGAGACGCAGGCGTAAGCGGCGATACATTTTGCTTTTATGGGCCCACATATATGCGGCTGACTTGTTCATAGAAATACAGATATTCACTCTGGTTCCGAGTTAACATAGTGCGAACAGTATCCAAAACTGAACTTTCACTTAGTCGCATGCGAAATTTAAGTATGCCTCAAAGCTGAATTAGAAATCTTTAAGTCACACACAGACAGAGAACGTCCTTATAAACATTCTCGCTTTCCTAGCTTCTCTAGTTACTGAGTTAAAAGTGGGGGAAAATTTTGTACACACATGTACAAATACATCGACAGATTCTTGATAATGTGTGTTTTTCCATTTCGTAAAAGATGCAGAAACCCATAAATACTTAACTCGGGGCTAGTAATTTTATTAAAGAATAATAAATGTTACAATAAAGATGTTGATATTTCAGTATGACTGCAATTTCAGCTCCTTACAGAAATGTGTTTGATATGAGAAACCGCCTCGGATCGGAGCTGTTGCTAAAATTTTTTGTGAGCAGGGGCGCTTCAAAAAGTTTTTGCGAGTGCGTGCTGAAAAATGGTGGGTTGGGGAGAAAAATTGCATCGTTTTCGCGCTTTTACACATTTCACGCTATCACTGACAAAATACTTGTTTCGTATGTCAGTCAATCAATGAATGCTCGTCTCATACGAACTCGGCATTTTCGAGTCCGCTCTTTTTTTTTTATCATTTCACAGGCTTACAATGCTTTCCCAGGAATTTGTTTCTAAATTCTGAAAATGCGCGTGAATAGCTTCTGAAGTGATGAACAACTGGCAGAATGGCTTAGCCTTAACCGCTAATAACTTAGCTATAAGTGGGTGACGTA